TACTTAGAATTTTAGTCAAAAATCTGCTCTACTTTAAAAAATTATTTATAAACTTTTTCTTGTTTTTTTTTGTAAATATTTTGCAATGTTTTAAAAATTAATATTTGTTTTGTTTAATTTATGCACATTTTATATACAATTTTTTTTTTTTTATATGCACTTATAACTATTTAACTTAAACAGTGCACATGCTGTTCGTCGAAAAACGCGTTTATTATGATTACAAAATTTATCTGTAAAATATGATTAACAAGTTCAAGTTTGTGAGTTAAATCTTTCGTATCATGAAACTTTTGCGTTTATCTGAACGCTTTAATAATGTTTTAAATGTTTGAAAGAATGTGGTTGCTGTAGGTTTGACAGTTGGCTTAATACTGAGGCTGTGCAGCCGCTTGTTTAAGCGGTATAAATTTGTTATTTTTCGTGCATACCAACACATATACGCACACACGCGCGCATATACAATTGCATGTTAATAGAATAACTACCAATACTATTTAGGAGACAGTGTCAATACAAATACATAAAAATACGCACCTATTCACACGCACGTATATAGTTAGCGGCTACTTAATGCATATGTAATTCATAATAGGTGTGCTGGTCATCATTGCTTAGGTTGCAATTTGGGTAAGTTTGGCTTTTGGGTCGCAAAAGCAGTTTCCATTGATTTTTTTTTCAATTCATATATAAAGATATACGTGTGGATATAGCTGTCAAAGTTTCCCTGGTCGTAATGCGCACGATCAGACAAAAAAGTGGTACCGCTCTTCGATTCATCCGAAGATCCGACCTTCGCAAACAGCTCAGACACATAGGGATTTTTCTTGAGAGTACTTTTGAGGGGTACTTTTCCGAGCGATGGGGCTTAAATTCTCGCAATACGAAATAGCATAACTTCATAACTTATATAAGTCAGTTGTGAAATTTTTTTAAAATCGGTCTCCTAAAGTTCTAACAGGATTCTTTACCGTAAATATGAGATTTTGGCTAAAGATTAATAAAAAAATTTCTCTCTTCAATTCTGCTTAAACGCTAAGCTTTGATAATTCACCATTATTTTCTGTAGAAAATCTTTTTAACTTCACAAGCAAGAAAATTATATTCGGTGGAAGCCGAATCTCGCATACCCACCGTTATGTTTTTCGCATTCTAATCCCCGAGTTTTTTATTTGATGCCCATATCGCTGTTATTATTGAGGAAAACCTAATTCACCAGGATGTCTACCTTATTAACTTTAGAATTAACCCATTTTTAGGCAGATAATATATCTCCATTTGAGGAGTGTACAAAACAGTTTAAAACATTCCGTCTTGTTTGTCTTATGGTAAATAAACACAAAATCTCAAAAAAGAGGAAAACCAATATTTAATCACTTGTAACTTTGTGTGGGCATGGCCGATTCGTTCCATTGCGGACAGTAGATTGTTTCGTAAAGTAAATGTGGAGAATTTCCGCCTGCTAGCTTTTATAATTTCCGAATAACGAGCAAAAATCCAAAACTTTTTGTTAAAAAAGCGGAGTTGCATTTAGTTTACGTTCCACTGCGCGCTTCTGCTCCGACCAATTCTGCCAATTTTGAATACCAACCTGCGCGCAGAAACTTCTATTGTTTTTATTGAATTTGAAGTCAATATATTCATTTTTGCGAGCAGACGAGCGCCAACAACATACATCACACAGACAGACAGACATGGTCAAATATACCTAGAATTTCACATTGACCACGAATACATATACTTAACGGGGTCTCTGAAGCTTTCTTTTTGGTCCTCACATTCATTAACGAAAAAAACAAAATGAGTACACCCCCGTCGCACCATGATGGGTGGGTTTAAAAAAGAAAATATTTTTCTAGTATTGGAAATCATCGCCGAGTTTACAAAGTTTATCTGCCTTAGGAAGACGAAGTTTATTGCCAATGTAAAAGAAAAGAAACATGAAAAGTCGAAATGTTATTTCAACTGCTCATGATATTGAAATATCCGCATATTTGTTCGCGGTATTTTGATTAATGATTCAGACAAGGAGCTAAGCGTAAAGTGGCTTTGATTTGAAAGATAGTTCAAGGAATATTTTTGGAAGAAGCCTCGACAAGCTAGCATCGCAACCTGTCGCATACGATTTTGCATCATTTTTATCCTTTAAATCCATAAATTCAAAACTATTAACGATTTGGTAAATGCTCTAAAGCGCATGACGGACGAAATCGATACGACCTTGAAAATTGTTTACAGATAAATGTAGACAAATGTTCGCCAAATAAAATCCTGATACTTTTTTGACAGTATAGTGAGTTAGCTTTAGCATTAATGTCAATTTTAAAATTTTACTTTTTGGAAAATTTTCACATCATTTTAATTTATCAGAACAAAAAGTACATACATTATTTTTTGATTTTTTATATATCTACATATATGCAAGAGTGCTTAAAGTTAAAAAAAAAAAGAACATGTTCCACTTATTATAAATAAATTTGCTCTTTACCACAATTCTTAACCACTTATTCAGACCCACACGCATATTAACTTGATTAAATACCACCTGTCATTTATGGCTTTGGAATTTTTTTTTTATGCTTTTTTGTCCTTTATTCGCTGAGTGCAAATTACTTCCAATAGAAGATTGCTAATTTGGGGTATATAACAAGGCAGACGCCTATTTTGTCAATATCAACCCACTGTTTATGATCGATTAAATGATATGACAAATGAAATGATAGCGAAAAGGAATACACAAAGCAAAAGACGGAATATTGGAAGAGCAATTCAAGAACGGTCGAAATCAAAATGTCGATCCAAAATGTCTATATTAGTATTATGCAGTCATATGACATTTATTTCTATTTGCATCGAATTCGACTTGGATTAAGAGCTTGTATATGGTGTGCACACTATTTAGAGATGAAAAAACTTTTGTAGACCTCACTGAAGGATGAAAAACAAATCCCTTTAAATTATACTCTCTCATAAAATTTACTTTTGCATTTACCCAAACTATAATTCTTTGGCCCACTGTCAGTCTTGCTCTGTAGCAGGGTTCAAAAATCTTATAAAAGGGCGCTTATAAGAGGTTCGGCCCATAACCATTTTCTCTCTTCGCAGTTATTTTGTGACAATTACTTTAACTCTTTGCTTATCACCACAATTTAATCATATAACTACTAGGCCTTTATTCAATTTAAATTCTACAATATAAAACGCTTCAAATTATGGTCGCGATCATGTCAACTTTAAAAATTTAAAACTTAAAGATTTTGTAAAATTATGCGAACTGGCACTGATACCGGCAAAGACGAACGAGGGACGGATAATGAAGCAAAAAAAATATTACCATTATTGCATAAGCGAAAGAGTTGTTGATAAACCGCATTTGGATTTTTGACGTAAACATCAGCCAGTCAAGTAAGGAAAGAATACATTTTTATCCATTCCAGAAAAATATCCTTAATGAATGAAAGAGTAACCTTCTACACCCATGTGGAATTCAACTACTACAAGTCATGCATGGAATTCGTAGTAGATAGAATAACACCATTGCTAATTACTAATTAAAATTAATATTTTCTTATGAAACGCTTATGAACATTTATTATATGTGTAATTATATATACCTTTAGACACTACACAGACGGACAGACGGCTGCTTTAATCGAATATGTGTGCTTTGTTTCGGGAAGTGAAATAGACTTAGCATTCGGGCAGAAGTGTGCCCATGTCTATAAGATGGTTCTAAGAACAGCAACAATTCGTGATGGACATTCATGACTCATAATGCAATTGCAGAACCATGTATTACATATATGTACATAAAGGCGATACCCTTTTTATATAAGGTGTAATCAACTATTTGTTGAAACTCGTTAAAAAAAAAGACAAGTGAAACCTCTCAAGTTGGGGTCATTACTAGTAATACAACTACATTTTACATTTTATATTCGTAAATATTTTCTACCATGAGAACTATCCCCGACGACAAACATTTCATACATAATTTTATTCGTAAATATCCTCTACCATAAAAAATTTCCCTCACGGCAATATTTAGATATTTAGTTTTATATTCCCCTCGACTTTTGTTGAGTAATGAAATTTTACCAGATTTCAACTTTACCAGCTTTATATCGCGCTTGGTTCTGGCTACAATAACCTCATGCTGATTAGCGTGGCCGGCCGGCTAAAACATTGCATCTCATTCGTTGTTGTTGTCATATATAATATATATTTCTTACCGCACCGATCTTATATTTGGTCAATTGCTCAGTACCTACTTTACATTTAAAAGTGCAAGGACTTTGCACACTGAAAAGTTGCTTCTGGTATATACATGGCGGTCTGTTGAGACAAGGTTGATATTACTTGAGAACCTTGCGTCCAGATCAATCTACTTTCAGATTTTCGAATTTGCTGGAGGCACGTATTTACCGACAGCCGACTCAGGCCGTTTGATAATTGGCGTTTGGTGAATTGATGTAATAGTTTTAGTGACGACATATTGTGGTAAATTGGTGGCATTTCCACATTTCCAACCAGGTTTCGATTATCTACATCAACTTTGCATACACGGAGACTTCAAAGAAGAACTGGGGTTAACAAACAATACATTTTTTGAGGAACATGCTGCGGTAAGTTCTTGGTATAGTTGTCGCGTTGATGCGTAACAAATCCTATCGAATTTTCTGTAACATATTCACTTTCTGAGTCATCGTAAACAGACGATTGAACAGAGGAATAGAAAGGTTGAAATGAAAGCGTCGTAATTGCCGATTTTCAGTATCTCTTAGAACCTACTCATTTGTGAAATTAATTATAGCTGCAAATCTGTCACTATCTATTACGACAGGAGAACCTAATGCGGGTTATTATCAATTCGGAAAAGAAGTGCTCTCTTTAAGAAATTCTTTTTAATTCAAATTCTCATTAATTGAAACTTTTGCTCTATAATTTCTTTAAATGACTAACGATTTAGAAATTCTTTAAACTAAATTGATATTAATTCAAATTTTTGCATTTAATAATTAATCATTAATAAACATAATTAATGGAAGTTTTTTCTATTACGTATAAGTTGTACTAAAGCAATGAATAAGTTAATGATATTAAGGTGGCAACTAAACATTAAAACGAAACAGCATAAAACATCACTTTATGGCCATTCATCATTTGCGACAACAATATAATTATCAACTGTGTAAAAACTTAAACCGTTACCTTCGGGTTTATGCCAAGATGGTAACAGAACTGTACGCCAAAACGATCTATGAATATTAGTAATTTATTAGACAATGAAGGAGGAGGAGTTGCTAAACATTTATTTAAAATCGTAATAAACTTACCGGCCTCTAACTACACCTAAAAACAAACGCCAATTCATTTTTAGTCCAAAATTATATGGATTGATATAAATCTTCTTCTGTACAAGCATAACTTTACGTTGTGCTTGATTTATGTGAGCCTCAATACTGGTCTCGCCACGCGATATCAATTTAGCGTGCCAGCAACAAAGTGTACCCAACGCCATAATCACGCCCAAATTTATAAAAGCCATAAACCATAAAGCACGACGTCGACCCAAAACGTACGGACTGTTAGCGTCTACTGCATTGGCTGGTGTCGGTAAGTCATGGTGAGCAGGCCATATATCTTCGTCGTATTCGTTCAGATGAGTCTATACAAAGTCAAACAAGAGCATAAGTGTTTGTTAGCATGCGCAATGTATTAACAATAAAAAGTATAATAAATTCTACCACTGGAATTAAATGTCCGCTTAAGTTTATTTTGACCGGATGCCCTTCCAATGGTTCCAATTCAGTCCAATTGTCGGTATGCTCCAGCCATAAATATCTATAACCGATTTCAAAACCAAATACTACTAAGAATAACGAACCCATTGTCGTGTATAGCATGTAAAGGAAAAAGTAACGATGATTACCGTACCCAACGCAGTTATTAAGCCAGGCTGTGCATCCAGGCATAGAACGAAAAGCAATGCAAAAATACAGAAACATTTGTTAAACTTTTAAAAAAAAATAATGCTCTTAAAAAAAATTACTGAACGGTAACAATTAGAAATAAATTTATGCGGTCTTTATTCCCTTTTACCAGGTGTTTTCAAAAATTTTGATCAGCGACATCTACACGTAAAAATGCTAAAGAAGTGGGAAATATCAGTGTACATTCGATGGTATTGACCTTACATAAAATAACAGTTTTTCATTCAATACTACGGATTTATTCAACGTACGCCGACGTTAATCATGGACAGCTCAAAATTCTTCCTATTGCAGATTCATTGCTTTTCTTGTTCATTTGAAGAAATAAGTTGCCTATGTTCAGAGGTTTATGGTGATGCTGCTCCATCATATCTCAATTGTCGGTTTTGGTTTTAATGGTTTAAAAGTAGCGACACGAATCGACTGAAAATGCCATTTTTTGACCACTCATTGTAAGAGTTAGCCAGGATTCACTGTTGCAGCTCGAAAGGGAAATTCTGCCACAACCGACGTACTCACCAGACATGGCGCCTCGTGATTACCACATCTTTAGAAAGGTGCAGCAGGGCTTGGCTGACATGCGGGTCCGCAAAGTTGAAAAGTGCGAAATCGGGGGGCGGATCGCTGCCATATTGATATAAGTTCTTTCGCAATGATATCGTCATGTTGATAAAAATATCGTAAAATGTTGTAGAAAATGGTGGAAACTATTCTCATTAATATATGTTGTACCCAATATTCCACAATAAATACCTTTTTGGAGTGAAAAAGTGATCAACATTTTTGCAAAAACCTAATAGCAAATTTTTTTATCATTCCCGTGACTTCTCGTATAAAAAAAAGAAAAAAAAAATGACATAGTAAAAGCATATATAGGAATAACGAAAAAAAGAGATATATCTTTATCGTCGAGGTGAACAGTTTTATAGGTTGGCTATCTGGGTCTATGGCCCACCAGACTACCACGAAATTCGGAAAAGGAAAACGAACGCTTGTCACATTTAACGCTTTTTCTTTCTATTATGTACAGAATTCGACCTATTTAAGGTTAAAAAAGCTACGCCATTTAAACTTAAGCGGGATAATTTACATTGTTGTATACCTCTCATAAGGATGCATAGATCATATCTCAATATTCTAAATACATCCTTCGATCATCTTGACATACTAAATCTACATAGTCATTACAATGTGCTTATGCGTTCATCGTCTGTTGGCGGAATAATATCTAAAATGAATAGTAGGCAGTCAGCACATTGCAACTAAATAGTTGTGTCTATAAACTGAGAACAAACCGAAACGCAACTAAATAGTTGTGTCTATAGTTCCCTTCGCAAATAAAGATATTTCTATGAATACGAGAAAACTTTGAGAAACTTTCAAATAATCGTTTCAAAGATGGAAGAAATAAATTGCAACGCTTGAAATGAAAATTTACATAAATTGCTTTCCATTCCGTTAAAGTGTGAGAACTTAACGCTCGATCCTGTTAAATGTGAAATATTCAGAAATTATTTGAAAACAATCGTAAATTTATATTGAAGGAATTACATGTGAGTACATTTTTTAAAATTTTTTTACTAATACATTTATTAAAAGCATCGAGGAATATACGCAATCGATACAGGATCAAATAAACAAACATCTTTAAAGTAAATTTCTAGCTGACAGACTTAAAACGCTCTCTTTGAGTAAAGGGAGATAAGGTGCTGCAATGGGAATAAAAAGTATATTGAACTTTAGTTTAGTTTTTTTTTGCCTACAATAAATACGGAATGAGAATTGCATGAATTCAAGGCAAACGAGTTCAATTGCAAGTATATGATGTTCGCTTAGCTTGAAAAGGGAATAAACGACATATTTATCAAAATACTTGCTAATGTATTGAAATAAGGATCAATAATAAGAAATTATTACCCCACCTTTTGTATCATGTATAACGTTTAATAAAAAAAAAATTTGGGGTTTGCATGGAAAATAGTTTTAAATTGTTAGTGTACTTAAGTTGACGCGACGGAGCACAGCACAGGGCTAAATAAGTCTCTATTCCTATGAGTTGTAAACGAATTGAGCCTTTGATGTCATTGTACGTTGGCATATTAATAGCAAATTTTACCATACGAAGGCACAAAAGAAGAATAGCATCGTTTGTACTGCTTTTAGCTGTGTTGTAAAGAATGCTCCGCTCAGTTTAGGTTTAAGAAACCCTATTTATTCAATTTTTATCTTTACTCGTGCTTGCAATTTGTTAAGGCTGTCGATGTGATGTGCATCAAGCACAATTTGAGTTATTTTTAAACTTGAAATAATGTAAATTTCAAGGAAACAATATGGAAAAACTATTCTGAGTCGAATATAAAAGGATGCATTTAAACCTGTTAAGAACTAGTCCCGGTAACAGTCCCGAGCAGGTGGCAGCAGCAAAATGAGAGTGAGTTATAAAAGTGAAAAAATTCCTAACAAAATGTGTGAATTTTTTTCTTTAAAGGTTTGCTGGATATTAATATTTTTAAGTTATGCTTGTGCAGCTAGCGTTCTGTTTCCTTTAACAAGTATTGTGCGTATGCCCGAAAATGATAAAGCAGTTATCGAAAGCGCTCGTGTCAATGGGAATTTTGCGTATAGCACTATGGAAGGTCATGCTTATAAAACGATTACACCATTGGTAGGACAAATTTTAAAGCTCGGACCATTGGTACCCGTGAACTATGTTCACGTTCAATAATAATTACATTTACATTTGCATAAATAAAGAGTATTTTTTTTTTGTAACTTACGACAATGATGGTCCATTTTTAATATACATTTATTGCAAACAGAGCAATGATGAGTGCGTGGAGGTTTTGGTTTTATGCATTTTTTGCATATACTAACAGCATTCGTCAGAGAAATGCCCTAAAACAAAACTATATACAGTACTTTGTCTTAAAAATGACATAAGAATTTTCACATTCATACCTCTGGTGGCTCTCCGGCTGGGGTGACAACAGCCATGACATAATGAAAAATTACATTAATCAATAACCAATTTCCCATAGCTAAAAGGCAAACAGTCATCGCTTGGTTTTTTTGCCACCAAAATGGTAAACCTATCCAATAAGCGATGCTAACAACAGCAGTCGTTAATAAAACCACACCTACAATAAAAAACTAAAAGTAAATTGCTTAGGAATACTTATTTAAACAATTGATGAGCGACCAAAACTTACCGGGCCCAATACGTGAGCATAATTATCTACAAACCAATAAATTGGTTCCATAAGGACATCAGAAGCGTAAGATGCATCCAAATGTGCATTGTAGGTCAAAGACCGAACACAAAGTTTGATGTAAGACTAATCAAATTATTTAATAATTAGGTCACAGTGTAATCAAAACAAAAGCGCCTACCCATTTTATTAACCATAAACTGCCAAATTCATCTACTCTCTTTTGTAATGTCCAATTAAATCGACCCATGTTCGAATTTAAATATGCATTCTTTTTTCTTTTGTTCAGATGTTGAGTTAGGATAAACCAAGCCAATAAAAAAAATAAAACTTGCGACTTATATAAATATACTTTTTAACTTCATCTTCTACTGGTTTCTATTCTTTCTTTTTATTTCTGTAGAAATACTTCTTACTATTCTTAAACAAGAATTTCCGTGAGAACTTTCGTGCGTAGCACCCTTTTTTTTTGTAAAAAAGGTAAACAAAACTCAGCTGTTTACTATTTATAAGCGTTAACCGACATTTTAATTTCATTACTTTAAATCCGAAAACCGTTAAACATAGTAAATGGAGAGATGGACGCGAACTATGTTAGAAACAGAAGCATAACTTAAAAATGGAAATTGTGTAAATGTGGTTGCTTTGGAACTATGAAGTTAAAAAATTTTTTCTTTACGGGGAGGATTTTTTCTTTTATACATGTAAATATCGATATTTATGGAGTAAAGGGATTTCTCGTTTTCCTAATATATTCAACCCAATCAATTATTGCGAAATATCATTAATATACAAAATTTCTTGCTTCTTGTTGCGAACTAATGGTTTTCATTTGAAATAGTTGAAATATATGTATGTAATAATAGGTTATTAGCAAACAAAAGCAACGGCTGTAATTGAGATTAATATCGATGAGAATCTTTACTTCTTTAACTTTTCTCACAACTTCTAGAAAGAATGATATTCAATTGTTTAAGTTGTGAACAACATTTCGTCGCCACAAATTGTAATATAATTTACAAAAACTTCTTATCTCTTATATCTTTTGCATCACATACTTCAAAATCGCCAATTCAAAAGAAAACATATGAAATTGTTTACAAATCAAAAGTAGACACAAAAGTAGACACAATATAGCCAATGTTATCGCTACTTTTCTATCCTTATCAGCTGTTTGCAAATTTAGAGTTGCCGTCTTTTGACGTACACAGAATAAGGATTCTAATAATTTATTTTGATTTGAGAATTCAACACTCCACCGACAAATTGGAATTTTTAACTGGTAACATCATCGAATGTAAAAACAAAAAGGAAAAGAATATATTCCTTCCACATAATTTTAGAAAAAAAAAATATTGTAAAATTTGTATAAGAAAAGAAAATAGATATATATTCAAAAATTTTAATGTGTAAAGAATAGTGTCGTTGTGAGATCAAAGTATGAGTGCTGAACAGGATGAGGATGTAAATCATGGTAATCAATCTAAAATATTAATTAATATTAAAATATATGCCAATAAAATTTAAACTTTTACAGAATTGAATAGTCAAAAAACTGAAGTCGACAATAATATTGCGTCTTCAAGTGTTCTTGTGACAAAAATTCAAAACTCCGGAAAAAGTAATGGGAAACAAATCCGAAGTTGTGGAACAAAAATTGGTGTGAATATTGATCAGGCTTTGGGGGAAATGGTTTCGGCTATTGAGCAAGAAGATGAGACGACAGTCCGACGTAATAATGGGAAAGCAAAAAAAGCAATAAACGAAAGTGATAATATTAACGACAAGCAGATGTCCCTAGTTATGAATTTGGAAGCAAATGTTTTGTCTTCAACGACTATGAATGAAACGACCGATCAGTGTTGTGGAGTTTGTTCTGAAATACCAGTTGAAGGTAAATCTGAGTACGTTGCAAATGGCAATATAGATGCTAACCTGTCGCCATTAGGTGAAGAAAATATCGTTTTAAAAACAGTAGCTAATCCAAATCTGCCCGTGGTCCTTGTGAACCGCTTATCTTCTTCCGCACTGAATGAACTACTTACATGTGACGATAATGCTTTGAATAACGGTGATGCTGCTTCCAAGGATGAAGCAAGTATGGAAGGAAATATTGTTTCTAATATGTCCCAAGAAGAAGACATACCTTTTGTAGAAGCTGTTCTAGAAACATCGCCCCAAGCTAGCATAATACCAAATTGCTCGACCGAGATAAGACGGTTATCATCTGAATTAAATCAAGATTTAATAGCCGAAGAAGCTGGAATAACCGATAATTCTGTTAATGGAAACCCGGACTCATTAGTCACGCACGAACGGAATAACGGTAGAAGTCCCTTTACTCTCGAAAGGCGATCATCTACGACAGATTTAGATAACGTTGAACAAAATCAGGAGAGTTCATCAGAACCATCAACTGATAGCAATCTCTCCGGCGGAGAAAATCGTAATTCGTCTGAGGGTATTGCAAATCATGTCTTGAATGACATTGTCTCTGCGGCAATGGATGAAAGCAATAATTTGGAAACTAGAATGAATACCAGTTTGCCTGTTGTTCTAGTTAGACGTTTATCCCCTTCCGCAATAAATGAAATACTTAACCGTGACAGTAACAATACTTATGAATTAGATAATGGTGATGATGTTTCTATGGTTGAATCAGACAATGAAAGCTTTGATGTAGGCCGACTTTTGGCCGAAGAAAGTTTTGACTTATCGAGAATGTTCGACGGTACGGATTCGGATACGGACACTGTGCTATCTTCACTGGTTGGACAAGTTGTCCCTCGTGAACGTCCACCATCTTCAGAAATTGACCCAGATATAGATAGATATCGCGATGAAGAAATGTACCAAAATATAAATGTAAACGTTCGTAACCAAAACGAAGAAGAGTCAACAATCCATGAAGCGAATGATGGTGCGGCTGCGATTAGTGAAGAAGACAGGGAAGAGGAAGAAATGGCGGTAGGGGATGAAGCCGAATCCTCATTTGCTTTTCCGAACATAACAAGTAGTGAGGATAATGATGACGAAAACATAGAAGACGAAAGCAGCCATGATGAAGATGGTTGGTCAATAAATGCTGATGTTTCAGTTTCAGCACGACCAATTAATTACGATGCCACATTTAGACAGCTAATAGATCAAACTAGACGCAGCATCGCTTATGCGGCAGCGTCAATTCAGCCGTCCTCGAATGGACCTTCCGAGCTAGTGCGGCGCGATAGTTTCATGCAAAGATTCAGACGAGTTCTTTTTATACTTAGTAGTCGGCAACGTCGTTTGATTCGTTTAGGATTGGCATCTCCAGATGTTGAGAACCCAGAAGGTGAGGCTGGAGCAGAGGAATTAAATGATGGTCCAAATAACGCCGCTCTGGAGCGTATCGTCCAAAATTTAGGATTAGACTTAGATCATTTAAATGACATCGAGCAACTAACAGCCTCTGCTGCAATGTCATCACAACATCGACAGGAGGAGATCCCGGAAAATGCTGTTAGATTTGATACGAATTTGCCAGCCGAACATTCGTACATGGGTTCCAATATGAATCGAGTATCTGGGGTTAATTATCTTGAAGTGGATCAGCATTACAATATGACTCTGTTCATGCACCAACATATTTTATTCCCAGGCGAAATTCTGCCCTTTATGATCTCTGGTTCAATTATTGATGGCGATATAGACACCCAAAACGGTTTCCTCTTTGGTGTATGCTTTCCTGTCTTAGAACTTAGAGCTGAAAATCTTTATGGCGTAACCTGCCAAATCTACGAAAAAGGCACCGACGAACGCGGCAACACTCTAATCAAATCTAGAGCATTGCAAAGATTTGCGATTAAAACAGACGATCTTTTTGGGTACATATTATGGAATTTCTGCTTTTGGTTTGGAGATTTTTTTATTACAATTTTCTTTTTCCATTCCAGGCCTTTGGAGTACATAAATGATCATCCGATGATGAAATGTTATGGCAATGTCAAAATATTGCCTGATATTTACTTGCCTGAACCATTGAAATGCATTAACATGGGATCTATGAGCCGTTTTCGCGACAATGCTTCTATGAAATCATTATATAAACGTTATCAGATAGCTAGTGCTCCTTGGCCAGCGCATATATATGATCAGTACAGTATCGCATCAATAATTGAAAAGGCCCGAACTCAATTGGCAGCACATAAAATACATACCATGCCAACCGATCCTACTCAATTATCGTACTGGCTGGTGCGTAATCTTCATCTATCAGAGAATCTAATGCATTCGATTTTCCTGACAAATTCGGTCAATACAAGACTTCGAATGATTGCCAATACCTTTAAAGAGGTGAAGAACACGTGACATTTTATGAGAAAATTATGAAAATTCATTTCGTTGTTATAGGAATATATATTCAGCTGCCGTTATTGTAGTAGTCACATCGCAAATTGTCGTGAATTGTTTGCTATGTCCAAACACGGTGTACAAACGCAATATTGTAATTCTGGTAAGCAGGGTAAGAAATAATGTGTGTGTAAATTAAAGGCAATTTTTTCATTTTGATGGCAGCTGGTTACGTACATGAAACTAATACCCTTTATCAAGTTAACAATCAAGCCATACTTTACAGTGGGGCACCCTCGGCTGAATTTAGTTGGTTCCCCGGGTAAGTTCAAAAAGAACTTTGCGTCATTCCATTTTTTTTATTTAATTTTCTCAATACGCCGATATAGCTATCAATGGCATAGTATTGTGTGTAAGGTTTGTAAGCATCATCTTGGCTGGGAATTCAAGGCTGTTGAACCGAATCTTGTCCCAAAGCAATTCTTTGGTATTTCTAGCTCTAGCGTACGAGTTAGACCCACTCAATCTGGACGCAATGAATCCCGCATACGTTCTATTATGCGTTTGAATACGATGCCCATGATTGGTGGCGACAATGACAGAGATGCAAGCGCCGGTGGTGGAGATACTGAATGAATATGGTGGCGCACAGTGAAACATTTTTTCTGTAAGTGTTGGTCTTGCTGTTGTAGAGGCTGTTAAATACTTCTCGTCAACCACTCAGCTACAGTAACCATATTGTAATATAGATTCAACAAGAGCATGGACTACATTTTTTTTTTGTTTCTTTTTAATTTCTTTATATTATTTTCAATGTGAAAATGAAAATCATGTTTCACATGTGCTTCACCCCGAAAACGCATAATCTCTTTCGGTTAGGGGGCAAAAGGGACGGATTGGCTAAATTGATTTATGTCAAGTTAATCAACAACAGGTCTTGAAAACTTTTATTATTTAAAATTAATTTCATATTTCTGCATTCAAGGATATTAACATAAACGTTTTTATAAGAGTTCATGTTTCTCCACCTTATTATACAAAATGGTATTTTGAATTGAATTCATTTTTATCCCCTGGAAATTAAGATGAAATCATATAAATTTGAAAAGGAGCGTTGTGGGCACAAGCCACGAAAATCGTAGCGCGCTTGTACATAAATCTTTTTTAAATAAGTTTATGTATACGTAAATGCAATTGCAATGAAACAATTATATTATAATTTCTATCTAAAAAAAAACAAATATATATATATATATATATATATATATAATGTTTCAAAGTCTCTGTTTAATAAAAGACTAACGAAAATCATTTGGAACGCCTTTTATTTCAAGTCAATACAGAGGACGTATTGCTTCTTCTCCGGAAACCTGATAAAGATAATTAAAAAAAAAAAAAAAAAATTTATCTAAGCAGGTGTGAGAGCCGAACACGAACAACATTTCCATGATCTCTGATTATAGATCGAAATTCGTTTTATTGGTAGAATGTTTCAGATAAATCCTTTCTTTTGGGGTAAATGGGATTTTTTCGTTACCGTTCCAAACTTTCATAATTACAGTTATTCTAATAATTTGAAAAAAAATTCATAGGTTCAAATGCAATTTAGGGGTAAACTGTATTTTCGCAAAGACGCTTCTCCTCCTAATCTATTAACAATTCACTTGGTTCCAGTTGATTCTCCGCCGTTCGCGTTCTTTTGCTCTTCACTTTGATATCACAACTGAAACAAGCGATCAGTTCTCGACTGTTATCCGTCAACGATATCTCAACGGTTACCGGAATTTCCGGAAAAATAGTTTCGACAAAAAAATTAAATTGATAGACGACGTCTTCCGTTTTATAGATTGGACACATGGCTTCATACATTAAATTGGAACAAACATCGGCAACATGTTGTGGCAATGGATACGGTACAGTAAGGCCGAACACTTTTGCCTTCACTTGAGCTGCTATAGAACGTATATTATTTTTTGCTGCAAATATATTGCTTAAGTTACATGGAAAAATTTATGTTTTTATATGAGGATGTTTTACACGCAAACTTACTTCCCACGAAATGTATACGCATGATAGCCGTTTCATTTTTGATTACATCACAAGGAGGTTCACTACAACCTTCAATATTAACATTTAATGGCAAAGGGCCACCGTTTTGACCTAAAACGATATGTGTGTGTGTGTGTTCGTGTGTGTATAATATGAAAACTATCGTTTTTCCTTTTTAAACTCTTTCATTCTTCAGTTTAAACTTACATTGCCTTACAATTGTAGCAGTAACGCAATACGACAATATTGCTAAAAACGCAACGAAATATTTGAACATTTCCTTCCTTCCGAACTTCTTCAGTTATTCTTCACTCTTCATAAGTCAATTACAATATGAATTATTTATACTGATTATCGGGAACAGGAATCTTAAGCCTGATAAGTATAACAAGTAAACGAGGTTTATAGAAAAAAATTCAAACATTCCTCTTGAATATATTTTGATTAACTTATTAAAAAAAAAACAAGTAAAAAAGTTATATTCAGCGGGTACCGAATCTCGCTTTTGCTACGCTTTTTGCATTCTACTTTGCTTCCAAGTGTTTTCATTTGGTACCCATATTAAGAAAAACCCAATCCAGGTCGCGGTGTTTGCCATTTTAGAGTTAACCCATTCTTAGGCGGATGATATAACTTTATTTGAGGGATGTATATTAACAACAAAACCTCAAAAAAGTGAAAAAAAAAGAAAATTTTAATCACTTGTAACTTTGTGTTGCCATGGTCGATCTTTTCCATTTTTGCACGTAAAGAGTAGAGTTCAGCCTTCTAGCATTTAGAAGTTCTGAGTAGTTAGCAAAAGCCCACAAATTTTTGTTAAGAAAACAGAATTGCGTTCAATGCAAACTACCAACTTTGTAGTCGATGTCCTCTTTTTTGCAACCAGGAGATTGCCAAATGCACAGGCATAAAGACGGATAAACATGGCTTAATCAATCCAGGGTTTCACGCTGTTCGAGAGTGTATACTATTTATAGGGTCTCTGAAGTTTCCGGGTGAATATAAAAAGAAAAAATAAATAAACGAAAGCCCGTCTGTAATGCTTAACATAATAACACCTGGGTGCCTGAAATTCGTATTAAAATTTGTTTGATAAGATAAATTCGAAAAAAAAGAAAACACGATTAGATTCAAATATCTACCAAAATAATCGTAAGAAAATTTAATCATAAGCTGGAATGCCGGCGGGTTTTACGCAATATTTTTTTTATCTAAATAATAAATTTATTTACGATTCATATGTTAACGCATTTTCGATGTAGGGCATATTATTACTTTTGTACAGATGTAGCTAGCATCTAGAGAAGGCTTAAAGGCGGTGTTGATTTTTCGCAAATCAACTTTTTTTATTGATTTAGTAGATGCTTTGAATCCTCTAAACCGCCCGGTCATCTAAAAGCATTTCCAAACAAAAATACGTTAACATAGTTTCATCGAGATAACACTTGCGATGATGTGACTCTGAAAGAGATGCAAATGGATTCAGTGCCTCAGTCGAGAAGTTGAAAGTGTGTGATGGAGGCCTTTTTTAAAATTTTCTTATCATTCCTTCTGTTATATAGCAACACGTTAGAGCGTAGAGGCAAGCTCTAGCATAAAATTTTGTTGAAAAGGGAACGAAGAGGATTACTCTATAATTTTTTGTTTAGATTTAACTGTTTGTCAGATTATCTGTCCACGTAAATTTGCGTTCCAGCTGCCAGTCGGTCGCAATGTTTGATATATTTTTTAAGAAATTTTGACTCCAAGAACGGATCCTATTAAAAACGGATTGGGTCGTTGCATATTCACGACCACTCTACTTACAATGCTTCGTTTTGAAAAATTTGAAATTTTCAAAATTTCTCGAGAAAAATCGCTCATTAATAATATTTCTGAGTTGAAGAATTTCATTAGGAGAAATGATATAAAATATTTAATGATCGAACTTCCGCGACTATATCACTTGCGTTTTTAAAAAAAGTTTCAGTTCCTGATACTTTTCATCATGTATTGTATATGCTGCAAGAATTGTTTTAATTTGGTGTTTTTCACTCAATGTCAAAAAGTCGATCTGCGACACCACAATAAAATTGAACGTCTGTGGACTAAAAAAGGATGGGATAGCTATATTTACATACTTTTATTCGAAGAGTTATCTATCAGCCGCTATTTCTTTGGGCTATTGTTCTGGTACAGCATATGAGTTCTCTAAGGCAGGAACCATTCCTCAATTGAGGCTATCTATGGATAGACTCATTCTTTAGTATTATCTTAAGTCGTAATGAAAGGGTCTCATAAGTTATTTCAGATAAGTTAATTGGAAAACGTCAATCGGAGGTAATAAGGTGCGATAGAAATGGCAGCTAGGATTTCACAATTTACTTTAGTCCTTCCTTATGTAATGGTCTAAGTTGTTGTCAGTGGCAACGTCTCTATGTAACGTTTTACTTTTGAAAAGTTCGGAGAGCATTGTAAAGATGATGAGCTGATGTTTATTACTTTCAGACTTATGATATTTCAGCGTGAGACAGCAATCGTCGATTCTTCATATCCGTGAAAAGAAAACTTGGATATTCCTTAAATAGCATTTCAACGTTCGAAATGACGTAGTCTATCATATCAAGCTGGAGTTTGCCGAGAAGTAAACAAAGTGCTGTGAGCGAGAGAGGGATAGAGGGGAAAGAGCGAGAGGGAAGAGAGAGTGAACTGTGAAAGTTAAGTTTTATCACCATAAAATACCTGCAAATCCCACTGCTCCGGTAGTGTATAGTTCAATTAATCTCTTGGTAAAGATTCTTACATAATCCAAATAGTTCAATTAGTACATATATGTGTACGTATATATATATATATACGTATATATGTATATGTACATATACATATATAAAGTTTATATATATGTATATATATAACTACATATATATAAAAATGCATATATATACTTTAATGTAGATATAAACTAAAAACAAGGATCCATCCATTTTCTATACACACTTTACTTTAAATATCCATAATTCTGTTAAAGCCACGCAAGCTTTTAAAATGCATTAAAAATGTAAATGTTTTGGGAATTGCGAAATAGCATGCAAGTACATATGATTATGTACGAATGCTTGTAAGAGACAAGAGATTTAAAACACATTATGAGGATTTGCCCATCCACGCATTTAAGTTTATATACGAAATACTAGTAAAGATTAAAGTAGCAAAAATCTGTTAAATAGAATTAAAAGTAAATGAAAAGTGCAATATAATATCAGTGTATTTATAAGGTCAAGCTAACATATACTACTACTCCTCGTCACATTTCACCTAAGGCGTACAAATGTTTATGATCGCTGTAAAATTCTTAGTCAATTCAATTCTTCAGTTATTCGGCTGTCCATCCGTCAATCTCGCATTGAACTTAAGACAGAAGTCTGACGTTTGGTATTTATACTTTTATGCTTTGTTTACATACAATTTCAAATGGGAATAAGATTCGTTTGTAACCATGCCTACATTTAGGGAAAAGTTGTGAGAGACTTTACAAAAAAGAAAATTTCAAATACGGTTATTAAGAGAATTTGCGACTCTCGCAATAGATGATGTGTGAAAAAAGATAGAAGTAATTATATCTTTCGCCAGCCTACAGACACCTGTTTAATTAATCCTAATGATTATGATGGTATGAGTCGAAAATAAGACCCAAGGCTGATGAGCTAGCAACTAACGCCTTTTCATACTTGTTAACTAATAGATTTCTAAATAATAAAGGAAAACAAACAAATAAAACTAAAATGAAAACTAAAAATGTAAGAAAATTAGTAGGTCGACCCATAAATAACCCCCGATGCAACTAGGTAAAATCGTCTGTTCACATTTACCTACTATAAGTCACCGAAACAAAGAAGTTTTTGTTTTCATTATATACATGGGGATTTAGTTAGTCTTCTGTCAATCGTTTTATGTGGTGCATAGTACATTCAACTGTTATTCTTAACTTCTGAAATGCAGACTCAAAAAGTGCATATTGAATGTAGTGTTCTTGGTTTTGATTAAACCAGGCAATAGCGCTAAAGCGACAGCTGAAAAATATACAGCATATAGGGTAAAATTCCATTCTAGAGATATGACCTTAAAAGACGGAACGTCCTTCCGATTTTGACGATAATCTTTTAATTTGATAAAAAAATGGAAGTTACTTATCACTCGACCTAATATATTCGCTCGTGATTAGCCTTAATATATCGTCTGGTCGGAAAACTCGGAAAAAGGCGAAAAAAATGAAAGGATGGAGGACGATCTTTTCCACCTTTATGTAGGTACTGCAGGATTACTTGTATTAAGCAGGTGGACGTTTTTATCGTTGTGTCTGCGATAGTTTATGGGAAATGAGCACAGATCCAATTTGTTAGCTTCAGGATGGTCTCAGCTCACCTTGCGCTGTAGACGTGTCCTTTGAGCAATTTGATAAATTTTCAGTCGCAATTGCAACATCTTCTAATCTTTTTCCCAAATCTGAAACGGAAACCTTAATTTTGTGAAACCAGGAGAGTGATTACCGCAGCCAGTATACGAGTAGACGTATAGAAGGAGAGACTGAAATGTCTAGATTGAACCTTTGATGAAGAAGTTACATATATTTTATAGGTCTTTGAAGTTGTCTTCTGACTATTGGAAATGTTTACCTTGTTTATATTATCATTTACATCTGGAACAGATTAATATTATTTGCACTCTAAGGTTCAATATATTTCAGACTATCAAATATATGTATATACTGATATTTTGATTATTTTTTCACTCTTAAATTCAAAATCAGCTATAAAGACAAATGCTACTGCGTTTAATAGAAAAGTTTTGAACTAATCCGTCCGTTTGCCCGTGATAATATTACGCCTCATCGACAAAAGTAATGCGTTGCAAATTTTAATTTACATAAAAACTTACAACTTTCTATCTATGCCTATTTAGACTAGTGTGTGTGTGTGTTTTTTTTTTTTGCTCTGCGAGCTGGAGGTGGAAAATCTTCAAAAAATACTGCTGGATCTTAATAGCAGCATTCGCCATCCATGGCGCATACGTACTAAAAACTAAAATTGAGTCGATGGTCAAGCATAACTCCAAGGTATTTCAGGGCAGGAGATGACCGCACCGTGTGCTGCCCGACTCGTATGCACCATGTTTCCACTTGCTTCCTGTTGCTTATTAGGACCGCTTCCGTTTTACGCTCTGCCAGCTCCAGCCCCATCTCTTCTAGCCACGACTTCACTTTGACTATAGCCTCGTTAGCCCTCGCTTCTACCTGCGCGACGTATTTTGCAACCACTACGATTGCTATATCATCGGTAAAGCCGACGAT